TTAAATAATAAAAGACCGAAAGAAATAGAAAAATAAGATGAAATTAATTCAAAAATAAACATATTTCTTTTGAACTGTCTAGAAGAAAATTTTCATTGAGTGGCCAGTGTTTGTCTTGCAAATCATAAGATATTAGGACCTTGAAATGAGTCATTGATATGAGAAAATATTATTTTATAGAAGAAATAGACTCATATTTTAACATTGAAAACAAATTTGAAATCATATGTACATTTTCAGTCACAGTAATAGGATAAGATTCTACGAAAACCAAGAAGAATGACCAAAACAGGAAAATACCATATAGTGCCCATACTTGTGGTACAAAAATTGAATCACCACAACAGGCGCGATCCTATTCGTTTGTATATCAAAAGATGCAGTTTTTCACGGGCTATCTTTTAATGGTAAAAGATTTTTGAGAGACAACCATCTTAGTATACTTATAAGTCAAAAATACAACAATTTTCATTAAAAAATAGTCGTTTTTGCATGTATTTTAGAGAGAAAATGATACATTAGATCATGATTTATATTTGAAATTTCGAATCTATAATAGTGTATCTGATAGATCTAATCAAAATACCTTATTTGGCAGTAACAGTAATGATATTCAAGAGTACAATCTATTGGTATAAAGTGTTAAATAGAATTTTTTATATTTTATCGAAATAATAAAATATCGTTTGAGGATGGGTTCAAAGATGATTTCATATATCTTGATAGAATTTCCAGAAAGAGCTGAAAATTAGGATTTAAGCATAACTTTCCACGGACTTTCGAATGATAAACTTTAGATCAAAATCAAAATTTTGACATATGCAGCCGTGGTCAGTGGTCTCATGGACCCTCTCTTAAGTGTTATATAATTAAAAAAATAACATATTCCATAAAATTCATTTTTTTTAAACAGATAAGATATTGGATGAAATTCAAAAAAAACGATTACAAATCCTTGTTGTAAATCTCAAAATGAAAATAATATAAAAAGGTCTTGCTCTGCAACATATGAAGACCTTTGAAGAATTAGTTTTGACATGGTGCCAATTCTGAATTTCTTCGACTTATTCATTATCAAGTTTAATAGTTATTTGCTAATTAAGCTTAATTAGGTGCCAGCTAGAAGCACTAATATTTCTATAGATATTGATAGGAAAAGAACTTGTTCGGCAAAATAAACTTCGTAAAAAATGAGAATCAAATCAAAAATGGTCATGTCCCATTTTTGCCCATACAAAAGAACAATGAAGTATATTTTGTTTACTTATAGATCAACTTATTGGTTTTATGTAACATAGAATATTTATTTTATTCTTAGTCTAGATTTATTCATTCAATATATTGTCTCTGAATTTAGGATCATCTTTTCGAAAAATTTGATCATTATAAATAATATCTAACAACAAAATCATCAATACATGATTGATAATAATATGATCATCTTTATTTTAATGCCTTTCTTCGGGTTCATACTATCAAACACAAAAAAAAGAAATTATTTTTCCGTCTCATTTAAAAACTTTTGATAAATATTTCTTCATTTTACATATAAAAAATTTGAGAAAAATAATAAAAAACTATTATATTCCATTTCAGATATAAAACGATTTTTATCTAATAAACTTTCATATTTATCAAAATCATTTGGATTATGAATAATCAATGAATTTAATCGATACATACATTTATCATAGATTTCAATAGGTATATCATAATTTAAATGAATATATTCTTGAATTTGTCGATCAAATAATGATTGTAATAATAAACTTTTCGTATGATCAGATTTATTTACAATCGATTCAAGATTCTGATCATGTAAAGCAATTATTTCACTTATTAATCTCTCTTGCTTTGTCATTAATTTTCGTTTCATTATTATATTAGATAATGACAAACGTGTAAATAATTTTTGAATATACATTTAAATAGATAAAAGTAATAATAATGCATCGGGCGCTTATTAATTTATTTCTTTGTTAATGATATTCATTAACAACAAAAAGAAAAAACAACAACAGTAACATAAAAAAAACACAAATCTGACTTATTAAAGAAACAATATTAACGAACTAGGATTTCAACATTTGTTTCATTATCATATTAATTCCAAATACAAAAAAAAACATACAAGCAACACATTCAAGATAGATTTACATAAGAAGTTCTAACGAAGCTACAAATCTACAGAACAAAAAAAAACATTTTACACTACAAATTACATATCAATCTCTTGTTTAATCTTTGTTTGAAAGATTATTTTCAGAAATAGAATTATCTAAGAAAAAATAAATAAAACAATTAATAATTTTACAGACTTGAAAAACGATTTTTTTTTTTCGTATTTATATTTCTCATTATAAAACTTTTTGGAAAATCATTTTGACTTACAATTATTAAATTTCTATTATTAATCTTATGTGTATGAAGATTTAACGAGAAAATAAATTTATTCTGACATTCCATTGAGAGAATTTCGTTAATAGAAATCATTTAAAATTGAACTAACGAGAAATATGTCAAAAAACAAAGAAAAAAAACATCATGTATTATTAGCTATAGGCATATATCCAAACCAGTTGGGTTGTTTTGTCTTAATGAAGAGACATGTTCTTATCTACTGAATCACGCGACATAATATCTTTTTTGTGTTGATAGAAAATTGAAGAAGGGGAATGATACTAGAAAATGTTCAAAAAGATATTTCAATAACATTATTCAACTACATGTTCAAGTTTTTTTTCAGGTTTCTTTTGAATCTCTTATTAAATCAAACGGTTTATCAACTCATTCTTCGTTTACTTGTCAAAGACAAACATTCTTCTATAATAGTGGCGCGACGCTTTATTTATATAGTTCATAGTCAATGAGTCTGTGATTGCATTTGAATGCATGTTTAGTAGAATCAGTTGGACTCAAAATTTTCCGACACGATTGATCAAAATTGGATCTGGCGTTCCGAAGGTACAAGATCAGTTTTTCTTTTTTTTTTTGTATTTTCTAACTAGCACAACCTAGATATTTCTCAAATAACTAGACCGCATCAGATCCAAAGACTTAAAACCTAATCAGATGTTGTTTAAATCCATAAAAAATTTTCTATATCACGTAAATAACTGCATTTTTTAGTTTTTAAAAGTTTTAATAAGTTTAAAAAAAAAACACCTCAACATCTTTGCATTTTTTTTTGGTTTTTTAATTTATATAATACATTAACAAATGGAAGAAAAAAACTAGATCATCTTTTCTTTTTTTTTATCTTACTACCAAATAAGTAGTAAGCTAAACATGCAATGTTACATGTCAACATAAGAACATGGTGAACTGAAATTTTTTTTTTTTAAATTTTCTTGTTCTATTATTAATCATTCATAAGTTGGATAAAACATCCGATTGTGAAAAAAAGTTTTTCTTGTCAACTAAATAGAATAAGAAAAAAAAATCAAATTTTTCAAAGATATTTTTCTTCTCTATCTACATCATACTATTTACACTCGATTTCAATATGTTACATATTTACTTAAGTTATTTTTCTTTAAAGAAATTTAATATCAATACTGAAGTATACAGTTGTTTTTTTAAAATCAATATTTACTAGATTGTTTGCTTTCATGGTTATTTTCAATTGGTTCTGAATCGAAATGCATATGATCAACAAAGGCAAGATATTTATTATAAGCTTGTTTATGAGCTTCAGACATAGCATGTGATTCTAATAAACCACGTCTTTGACATACAATTAAATCTTCATCAGATTTCATTGATCCTCCTGTTGAACGTTTTTTTTTCTGGCCACGTGATCCTAAACATTTACGCCAATTTTTAATACCTAAACAAAACAAAAACAAAAAAAAAAAATCTAAAGTTCATTTAAGTAATATAAATCTATACCATCACGTGAAAAAGCTCGATTACGATTTGATTCAGCAAATAAACGACAATAAAAACAATAAGCACGACCTGTTGATAATGAATATTCAAGCCAATCAGAAAAACGTGGATCATCAAACCATTTTGAACGAAAACGTACATTTCCTTTACCATTATTTGTTGATTTAGCACTTGCTAAAAAATGATCTTCATCATCACGTGGTTGATGTGGTCCATATTGTATTAATAACCAACGAAGTTCATTTGTTAAATGTTCAGTTGTTTCCGTTGCGGCTGGATCACGATCAAACGTGATTAATGATGAATTTGATGTTATTGGACGTTGATATTTTAATGGTGATATAATACGTTGTGGTTTAATTGATGATGGACGTATTGATGATAAACTATCAACTGATGTAACAAATGAATCTACCATTGATTGTAAATCAGCTTGATATTGATCAATAAATGATTTTTCTGTTGTTGTTGATTGAAATTGTTCAGTATTATTCATATTATCAAGAACCATTGATGATTCTTCTTTAATTATTGTTGAATCTAATTAAGGAATAGAATTAGAAAACGAAAAATTTCTCGTTTTTTTTTTTTTTTTTTAAATATTTACCCCAAAGCATGATTGACTGACAGAGTTTGCTGAATGACCGATCAAAAGAATAAATCAGAAAGAAGAAAAAAAAAAAAAAAAACTGTTCTTTCATTTTAAATGGATCAACATATACACAAATCAAAAAGATATGCTAATCTATGTGCATGTACGACCTCTATTGAAAAGAACATACAGATAGTGTCTTCTTTTTCTCTAAATGAATCATGCCACTATTATTATCATTCCTATATGTGTTTTTCTTTTTTTGAAGAAGAGTAATACAGAGCGAAATAAAACAACTCTTGATAATAAAACGATAGAAAAGAACAGGACAATTTTTTTTTTGAGTTCTTTCTACAAGGCTCGTTTTTTTTTCATCACTTTATAATATAGTTTGATAGAGAAAACAGGGAGCAGTGACAAAAGTTATATTTGTATATATATGGTCCGATTCTTGGATGGGTACATCTCGCTATTGTAGATGAATCATCACAATGTTTTTTTTTTTGTTTATTTCAGAACAATGGTGGCTTCATCATCACAGCCCAGCCATGTTACAACTGTTGTAAGTTATCAAGACTATTATCATCATCATCATCGTCGTTTTTTTAACAATCTTTATGAATCATTTCTCTATTTCAAATACAAAAACATCTTTCTTTTTATCGTTCTAGTCTTCTTTTGCCATCTTCATTTATATATCTTTCTTTATTGTTACTTTTGTCTGTAGACTAAATATTGATCATTGACATAGGCATACATAAAAAGATGATATTGATCCATCATCGTATACATACATATATATATATATATATTCTTGTCGACATTTCATTATTGTTACCTTATTTTTTTGTAGCATCGTCATTTAACATCAAAACTTCTTTCGAACGAAAAAATGGGACCTACTGTTTTTCCAACAGTAAGTATCATATAGACTAGTATTTATTAATAATTGTTTTAATTATTAATTTTACTTATCTAGATTGATGATAATCTTAAACAAAATAATTTTGAAACTGAAGTTGAGCGTAATAATGACGATGAAAATTTACAACATGAAGAATTTGAAGAAACACCATTATATGCTGCTATTTTAACGTATTTGAGTTATTCTATACTTTGTCTATTTGGTTGGTTAAGAGATTTTCTCCGACAATCAAATATTGAAAAGAAACGTGGTGCAGTTGATCCAAATGCTTTATTGGTATGTTTAGTTTCTTTTTTTTTGTTAAATTCATTAATTATTCTATTTTTCATTTCTATTAGGGTTTTGTACCACTCTATCAAAGTTATGAATCTTTTTATACACGAAATATGTATACACGTGTTCGTGATATTTTTAATCGACCAATTGCAAGTGTACCTGGTGCAAACTTTGAATTAGTTGAACGTGTTTCAGATGATTATAATTGGTCATATAGGTAATTAAAAAAATAAGAATTCTTTTTATTTTGCATTTATTTTTTGTATTTCTATTATCATAGATATACAGGAAAAACAATTAATGCAATCAATTTAGGTTCATATAATTATTTGGGTTTCGCTGAAAAAACAGGTCCATGTGCTACAAATGCTATCAATTCAATTAAAACATATGGTATCTCAAACTGTAATACAAGAACTGAAATAGGTATGAAGTGTAGTATATTTGCTTTGTGGTAATCTTTAGTGTCACACACACACACAAAGAAATAGATCGATTCATAATAGCTAACGCTTTACGTTCGTTTTTATTCTATTCTCCTTAATAACGACGCATTTTAAAGCGCACTCTTTATCGTTTTCGTCAGTATAATTAATCATTTTTGTTACGTTTGTTGACTTATAGAGGTAAATAGTGTTGGTGTTATCCAGTTCTTTTAATTTACTATTAACATTTGAAATCAATCTAAATAAAGAATGATAATAAAAATGAAAAATACATCAACGATATTGATTTTTACAAAAAACAAAAAAAGAAAAAAAATAATTTGGCCTTTGTCGTTGTAAAAAAAAAAAAGATAATAAAGACATTTGAAAGTAGACTAGATGGTGTTAATGACCTTTGCGACAAAATGATCTTAGTGTTTCAATGATAATGCAATTTTACATACGTTATCTATATTTATCTTGTTGAATTGATATGAATAAATGTTGAGTTTTTTTCTTTTTTATTTCTTCAAGGTACGCAGCGATATCATGTTGAGCTTGAACAACTTCTTGCTGATTTTCTTCATGTTGAAAGTTCTATCACATTTGGCATGGTTTGTTTCTTTCATTTGGAAAAACAAAAAAAAGAAATTTACTAATAAACTTTTTTTTTTCTATTAATTTATTCAGGGCTTTGCAACAAATTCACTTAACCTTCCAGTTTTAGCATCTAAAGTATTGAAAGAAAAATCGATCAAGTTTTTTTAAAAATTTTTATCATATTTTACTTTTTTTAGGGAGATTTAATTTTAAGTGATGAAATGAATCATGTTTCATTGATCTTAGGCATTCGTTTATCAGGTGCTAGTTATCAAACATTTGCGCATAATGGTAAATTATTGATTACAATTAATAAATATGTGCTTTTTTTTTTGTGTAATAGATATGAAAGATTTGGAAAAAAAATTACGAGCTGCTATTGTTCATGGTCATCCACGCACAAACCGTCCATGGAAAAAAATAATTATTGTTGTTGAAGGAATTTATAGGTTAGATAATCATGAGATTTTATCTGAATTATTATTAATAATGAAAGACATCTTGTAGTGAGTGGAAAAAAAAACAGTTGACAGTCATTTTGGTAGGTGTACTTTTGCATGCGTTACTTCTTTAACTAAAACATAATAATAAATAAAACCTTCAAGTTTCTTTTTTTGACATAATCTGTAAAATACAAAAAAATTTTAGTGTTTTTTTGTAATCCATCGAACGAATACTTTTGTTATTTTTTTTTGTGTTGGTAGATAAAAAAAAACTATTTATTATTTTTTTATTTTGTAGTATGGAAGGCTCAATATGTCGTTTACCAGAATTAATTGAATTAAAAAAAAAATATAAAGCTTATTTATATATGGATGAAGCACATTCAATTGGTGCAATGGGTAAACATGGTCGTGGTATTGTAGATTATTTTGGTGTTGATACAAATGATGTAGATATTTTAATGGGAACATTTACAAAAAGTTTTGGTTCTGCTGGTGGTTATATTGCAGGAAAAAAGGTAAGAAACAACTCTATGAGACAGATTACATTGTTCAATGTAAAATAGTGGAATTCATTAGAATTTATTCAAGTATTGAATAATCAAACGATAATAAATTATGATTAATGAAATAATTGAATGGAATAATAAAATTTTTATTGATATTAAACATATAAACATAATATATCATCAAAATATATTCTTACGGGATTTTTATACAAAAAAATTCTATAAGTATGTCACTTGTAAGTGCAAATATGTTTTCAATAGGAAAGGCAGATATAAATGTTACTGCAATCTTTTCACCTCAAAAGAAAACCCATCTAAGTTAGTGGAGGAAGAGTTGTTCTATCGAAGGGTGTATGTACTTGTGACTCAAAACTTTGTAATTGCCTCTATCTGATTCTCGAAATTATTTAATCAATCAGTAGCCATCTATCTTGTCTTTTGTCTGTTATTTTATTACCATTCTTAAGTTATAAAATTCCTATATCGGCTGGTCTAAGAATAATTGCACTGTTAGTTTTTGCAAAATTTTCCATATAGTTTACATCTGATCAAGGTATCTTTTTTTAACCAACAATAGAGCTTGCAGTTTTGCACAAAGTGATATACTTTATTTAATGAATATAAGTTTCTCCACTTTTTTTGGATCATATGTAACCGTACAGTAAAATCAAGTACACAATGTAAAATTTTATCTTTTTTGTTTTTTTAGAAAGCATTTTATTTCGTCTATCAATGCTGCTTTTCGTGTTATGACGTTTCAATTTATAGTTTCAGTAATTTTATTCCATGAAGTAGAATCTAAGTGATTTAGATCAGGCATATATAATGACTAATGATTTTTATGTATGAATGCATGATTAATGGTCTGTACACCATTCTTTACTAATGTAGCACGTGTGAGTCTTAAAAAAAAAGGAACTCTACTAACATTCAGTTTGTAAAATTAGCCCACTCTTTTTGAAAAGACTAGTCACGGTTGACTCTTCGACTTCGTATTACGGGACACATCCAAGATTTTCATGTGATAACAGTTTTAGACGCTTTGTTGCGTCTTCACTTTTCATATTTTTCAAATCCATTGAAACAGCTATTGATTACAATCATAGACGGTTTTTTTTTACAGCATTTCAGTGCTATCTTTTGATGAAAAAGGATATCTCGGTTAGATGTAAAATACAAGAGAAATTCTGGAACTATTAAGACCATAATTATTTCTGGGTCATCCTCGTTACATACTTTGATATTAAAAAAAAGTGATGATGCCAGCGCTTCTTACATGTGTATGCATACGAACGCTGGTATACTAACAGTTTTTGGTACTAGCGATGAATATCAAATGGTTAATCATCTGTTTAAAACATATAGACAAGTTCATTAATAGTTCCTAGAAATGAGAATAGATGAAAGTTCGGCAACAATTGCCTTCATTCTCGATGCGCTAGAAGTGTTAATTAAACGGAAAGGAGTAAGAATGAAACTTACTGTGGTCTGGATCTTTCTGCAACGGACGATTTACCATCAGGCCATTCCTTCTCCAGACTCTCCCTAGTCCTACTCAGTTCGCAACAATGTTTTTTTTCTGTTTATTTTTATTTCACTTTTTGCCAGAGAAAGATATATGATGTTTCAAAATTCAATTGCTGATCAAAGTTACCATGAAGGTGTAAAAAAGTTGATATGACACATTGCACATTTTAAACGAGGAGTCGTTCTTTCATTCGTGGAAACCTTGCACATGTAATTATAACAATAATTACTTTTAACTTGGTAGTATAGTTTTTGAACAAGCATTTAACTCCTTATTCACCCTAGAAAAACTTACAATAACTAATATATAATTTTATGCATTAACAAATAAATTTCAACAGTTATTAACTTGATTTTTCTTGAAAACAATTCAACCGTATATAAAAAAAAAGGAAAGACTTGTTTCATTTTTTTTTGAAAACAATTCATGCATAAAATCCGATAAACTATATCTACGCATATTACAAAAATATATTCTTAGATTTTCTTTCTTTTTAGTCTCTCATCGATTTTATTCGTATTAATTCTCATGCACATACTTATGCTTCAAGTATGTCAGCATCAGTAGTACAACAAATCATATCTTCTCTTCATCTTCTAAGAGGCCCAGAAGGTAAACAAAAAAAAAAAAGCATTTTAGTAGAAGAAAACAAGAAACTACTAAAAAATAAATTTCTTTTTTCTTTTTTCATTTTGAAGGAAAAAAACGTATTTATCAACTTGCTGATAATACACGTTATTTTCGACAAAAATTAGTCGATATGGGTTTTATTGTTTATGGTAATAAAAATTCACCGGTTGTTCCAATGTTAATTTATATGCCTGCAAGAGTCACACGATTTAATCGAGAAATGCTTCGACGTGGTATAGCAGTTGTTACTGTTGGATTTCCAGCAACCAAATTATTAGATGCTCGCGTTCGTTTTTGTATATCAGCTGCACATACACGTCAAATGCTTGATACTGTAAGTAATAAGAATTTCTTAATGAATTTATTTCAAATTTAGAAAAAAATTATGTACATATATTTATATAATAGGCTTTAACAGCAATTGATGAAGTTGGTGCAGAAATATCATTACGTTACTCAACACGACATAAATCTCGACGATTAAGAGAGTTGTGAATATACTAAAGCAACAATAATTTCAATGTCAAAAGTTTTCCTTCAGATATGCGATGAAGATGATATTTTATCCTTCTCTGCTTGTCTATTTTTTTTTCGTTGTTGTTTATTTGTACTTCTTTTCATTCCACTTATTATTGACATCGTATGAAAACAAAATAAGTTTTGTTTTGTTTTTCTTTTGGCAATTGATCTCCTCACAAAATGTATTCTCTTCTGCTTATTGTTGTTTGTTGCTGAAAATTTTTATTTTCTGTCTGTTTTGCATGAGTTTATCTTTTATTTTGCTTCATTGATTATCATATGGTAGTCATGGGTATTTTATTTAATGTCAATTTATGTTTTTAATGCATTTGTTTTTGTTTGTTCTTTTTTGGTTTCTTTTGTTTTATGTAATAGCGCAAATGAAAATCTTTTCTTTTCTCTGTTAGTCATTTTAATTGTTCTGTGTGAATTGTCAATTGAACCCTCCTTTCCATTTAGTTTTCTCGAATGGTGCCTTTTATCGTATTTTTCTTCTTTTTCTAATTTAACCTTTTGTATGGGTGCGAAATTCGTCTATTACTCTTCATTAGTTAAGTCTATATTTTCTATCTATCTTTTACATTTAAGCCGATTCTTTCGGTCAGCAAGATTTCTTAACAACAAAAAGAAAAACAGAACATCAAATATTTTATGTGAACAATGATTTTAAATTCTTTCTTTTGTCTAGTTACTTGTTTGTTTTCTATTTCTCACATACAAACACAAATAATGAAAAGAATAAGAATATTAACAGAAATAACAATAACAATAATAATAATAATACATAGACATATTTATTCATTGGGTTTATTTCTCATAACAAGAAGTATATCAAGATACTGTAATAAAGTGATAGATGGTGTATATTCTGCATCTTTTTTATCTCTAAGTGATCGTAACCAATTACTTAAATGGTCTGTTATTGATTTTTGTATTGTTTGTTTTGTCATGTTGAGAAATGATTGTAAAAATTCTTGAATTAAACAATAACCATCACGAGTTTCATCCATTGGAACATAAGCAACCTAAATTAATATAATAAAAGATATTTGAAGAAATATTACATATATAAAAGATTATTTGTGTTTTTTTTAGTTTTATTCACCTCAAGAATTAATCCTTTTGTTGTTTGTGATTGATTAACAGTTCCAAGATTAATAAGAAAATCTTGATATTCTAATCGTGTACCTTTTGCTTCCATTTTTTGTAAGCGTGTTTCAAATGCACGTAATGTTTTTAATTTATTCATTAATGCAATAAATGTATTATCGGCAACAAGCATTTGACAATTTGATTGTTCAGCATAAGCAAATGATGATGCCGGATATTCAGAATGTGATAATACATGAACAATTTTAGAATTTGGTATTACTTAAGAAAAAACAAATTAATTCAAGTAGATAAAAAAAAATAGCGAATATAAAAATTAATATTCTATAACGAACATGGAGTATAGCTGACTAGATCAACTTGAAATGGACGAGTCTTTTTTGCACCACCTTTTTCTAATTTGTCTAAATAAAATTCAGCTGCTTCAGCTGGTGATTTAAATGAACCACTTGGTAATGGAATAACTCTATAGGAATAAATAAACAAGAAAAAAATTCAAATTTATATTGTTAAAAGAAAGACATGGTCTAGAGTGTGGAAAATTCTTATCTCAACAACACAATTATATACAATCATATCTTTACTTACATAGCTACAACCATCTTTGACTAATAATAGATAAAATAAAAATAGATAAGATCTAAAATTGAAATTTAGAAATTTTCAATAAATAATATTTTCATACCAAAAATTTTATTTCAAATGAAATCGAACTATTCAGCAATCCGAATCTATAGGAAGCTTGTCGAAAGTCCCGAGTTCGATTTTTACAATCAAAGAAACACTTAAAAAGAACCTCTTCATCTATCTCATTTCGATTTCCATGATTCTTTTGTCTACAGAGACTACATAGTATTCTAATAGAATTTCGAGAAGGGCTTTAGTTTCTATTGATATTTGACTGATCTATCGAAGTTTTCAATATTTCTATTTTCTAGATGTCCTTAATTTTACGAAAACTTGTATTTCTGAATTTTGTTCTAAAATTTTGTGTATATAGAGAATTCAACTAAGCTAGCTTCCATTAAAAATTTCAGAAGTTTTGAACAAAGTTTCTTTGAGATATGAAACTTTCAAGATTGAGACACTTTTTTCATAAATAGTGTATTCAACGTGCATTTTTTGGAAACTTCATACTTTCGAAGAAGCTCTGTTGAAAACTTATGGATTTTTTTTTCATGAAAACTAGTCTGATCAAATTCTCTATATACACAAAGTTTGAGATCAAAATTCGAAAGTACATTTTTTCCGAAAACATGGGGTCTCTCTAGAAAAGAAACATATTTTAAATTGCATAGTTTAGCTAAATATAATCGCAAGAGGATAGCTGAAGAGGGTCTGTTGTTAATTTTCATAGTTTAGTCATGTTCTATCAAATAAATCTGTTTTGTTGAAATAAATCTCTCTTAACTGAAAAGATGAAAAAGAATCTAAGATTGCCGTAGTTTTATTATGCATTCACCGTATTCACTGTTACTCTAGATGTGCATCTCTAGATCAGTGCAACGTTATTAGGAGCGAATAGTCAACTAGTGGACGAGTGCATCCATGATCACCAGTACCATTGCATCCCTAACCCATATGGATACAGGATAAATAAACTAGAAGAAATGTAGTCTATAAATTGTTAAACTACTTTTATTTTTCGATAGTATAAAATAGATGTTGTTGATTGGCATAGAAAATAAAAAGTTAATTAAAAGTAAAAGAACTAAGAACAAATCATTTCACACACTCTTTATCTATTAATCAAATTATATTGCTTTGAGTCTTATTTGATTTCTTTAAGTTGATATTGGTTCACTTGTAAGATTTTTAATTAATTTAATATAAATTTCAATGCCACGAAGAAAAACATCTTTATGTAAATATTCATTATGATCATGTAAAAGAACAGGAGTATTTATCATAGGTGAAAAACCAATTGCTGGATAACCAAGATTACGTAAAAATCTAGCATCAGTTCCAGCAGGAAATATAGTCCAATTTAATTTACATTTCATTTCTTCACATGTTTGTTTAAAACCATTAAGCCACCATGATGGTTTCTCAATATCAGTAAGAAGAAGTGGACCTGAATCTTGTGCATAATTCAGTATTATTTCTTCATTATTTTCTTTTGGTGTTCGTTGAATAAGATCATTTACAAATTCTTTAAATGAATCATAATTATTTGGTTCAATGCGACAATCAAAAGCTAATGTATATTGATCAGGTACAACATTTATTTGAACACCACCATTCATTTTTGTTAAATTAATTGTTGTTATATTACCTAATTGAAGTGGTTTATCTGTTGTTTGACTTTTTTCTAAACGTTCTTTTGCATCAGTACGATATTTTAACATTTCATTAATAATAAATTGAGCTTTTTCTGCAGCTGTATTGTCAATAAGACGTGATCCATGACCAGTATTACCTTTAATGGTTATTTCAATCCACATACAACTACGATCACCGTAATATACTTGAAAGACATCTGTTTCACTAGCAAGACCTAAGAAAGAAAAACAGGAATAATCATATAAAAGTTTTCGAATTTTGAGTTTACCTTCATCAAGAACGAAACCAACATTTAAATTTTTAAATTCATCTAGTGTTCTTAACGTTTTCATTCCTCTGTCACCACCAATTTCTTCATCAGGAACAAATAAACAATGAATAGTTCGTTTTGGTTCATATTTAGCTGTTTTAAGACGTCGAATAGCTTCCAAATATTGAATTCCAACACTGAAGAAGATAGAAATTTGTTTTTACTCATTAATAAAATTAAATAACTTTGAAACAAAAAACTATAAATTAATATTATTCGAAGTTAAAAAATTAATTATCGAAACTATTATTGCCATTCATCAAGGGAAAGATTAATCTTTACATTATATTAACCTTTAAGTGCCCAATGTCCCTTCCAAGGGACATTAGTATAATTTCAATAAATTCCACTACAAGAGCTTATATACAAAAACCAACATTTTTCTGAACTGACATGACCTTAGTAATCATACAGAGATGAAAATATAATTCTCAAGTGACTCTTAAATGGAACAATGAATTTTTTACGACTCGTAATATTTTTAGCAACACTTTTCTTTTTTGAAGTCTTTTTTATTCATATAAGCGACGTGCCACTTTGGTTTTTTTAAGTGATATTGTTAAACATAGTGTTAAGGTATCTGATGAAACCATCTCGTAAATTTTAAACCATTCCACTAACGCAGGCCACTATCATAAAGAAAATGTTCCTTCTATAGGATATTCTACCTCAAGAAAAAATCGAAGCAATGGGATTTTGACTTGAAATTTTGCTCATAAATAGCTGATACGCTATTTAAATTATCCTAAAATTTTCAGCAACAACTGTTGTGTACTCTTGGAAATACGGCATGTTGAAGAGAAGCCGCATTCTGTGAGGTTTTTTGCGAAATGTTGCCAATTTTTTTGCTGCGTCCAATATCTCAACAACAAATCATCCGTTTTGACTGAAAATTTCAGCACAATTTAAGGATCATATAAACTGATTAAAGGCGAAATTTCCGATCGAAGTTCCTTTTTTTTTCAGGGTTTTGGAAGGTTCAAGATTTCTGCTAAAGGACATTGTGTAACTCTCGAGGAAGTATGAGGTGCTTCGTTTTAGCTATAGTATGAGCATACTGAGGGTCCATCAGCTCTATTTGTATGGCTGTCTTCCTTGTGTTGCAAGAAAAAAAACCCTCGGGCTTTTAAGGGTTAAAGGAATTTAATCTGAAAACACATGAAAAAGAATTTACAAGCATATTGATCTGATCTTATATCTAGAAGTAAGAGCAGGTGGGTGCGTCACAAATAATAGCATTCTCCATATTTTTTATTTATTCTGATCAAGTTCATAGATAGAAAATTGTCCTTAGTCTCAAAAGATTCGCGATTTACTTCCCTAGAAAACAATGTGGAGCCCTTAGATGTAATATTAAAAGTAACCGCAAGAATCGATTTTTATGTTTTCCGGAGAATTTACACCTGTCGCCTGTCAGTCAACCCGTGACTATACTTCGAGTTCAGTAAGGACCAATAATCCCATCATATACTGATATTTAAAAGGATTGGCTGTTTTTAATGAAACTTTGCGATAACCATCAACTTGACTCAAAAGTCTTAAAGATTAAGGAAATTTTATCAAACACAACTGGAGTAGAATATTCCAGCGCAAATTATTAATCAGTTTTGCAAGAAAGTCACTGAACAAGAGGATGAAACATTCACGATACAAGTTATCATTTGCATTCAATGAAAATGCAAAGTTTCACTGAATATAAAGTTAACCACTGAATGTCAATAAGCTCATTTCTGTGTCTTTATGTTATTTGAAGATGTTCGTCATTACATATCTTGGCAAAAGTCTGTGCCTATTAATATAATTAAGTTTCTATATTGTGTCTTGTCAGTCCAAAACAAAATAGCAGATTACCAAATATTATTTGCGAAGCGTTCTCTAGAAATCAATACATATTGAAGAAGTATAGTGTTCTTCGATTCTGTCGATAGCTTTAAAGATTAGATCTAATGTTCTCGTTTAACTTTATAGATAATTGAACAGCAGAATCATTTGAAACAAATCGTAGTTTTCTACCTACTCGTGCACACATTCGATTTCAACAAGAACATAACACAATCTCAATATTATTCATTTTCTAAACTGTAATCTACAAGAAATGTTGAAATTTAAATACTGAAGTCTATAGCGAAAATTATTCTCGAGACAGTTATTAATCAATGTTAAATTCTATATCGAAAAAGTTGATATGATCATCAAACTCTTAAAAATATTTTCTATGTTTATTGAAAAAGAATTAAGCTATTTGTCATTTGTTTCCTTTCTATGCACTCACACTATTATGCTATAATAAATGTCATCTTTTCATTGAGAACATTAATTGATAAATCAAAAGAAATATAATTTAGTAGGAATTCTTCTGAACAACTAAAAGAAACAATTATTGAATTAAGAAATCATTTTTGTTTAGTTTTATGTTTCAAATTTTATAATATGTTCTATTAGAAATTTTTAACTTATTTACCATTTCATATCTTGTGTACCTCGTCCATAAATTTTTCCATCATGAATTTCACCTGAAAATGGTGGAACTATCCAATTTTCTTCAAAAACTGGTACAACATCAATATGTGAATTGAGTAATATTGATTTATCATTTGATGATGATAACCACTAAAACACACAAATATAGATATTTCTTTGTTTTCGATAAGAAAAAAATAAAATAAAATAAATATACAGTTAATACAGCTGCTTGTCGGCCTTCATCAATTTTAATTAAACAATATTCTAAACCAAGCTCTTGTGCATAATTTTTCAAAAATTTGAAAGCACTATCATAATCTGGTTCAGGTTGTACTGTTTTTATTTGTATATATTCAACAAAACGTTGAATAGCTAATTCATTTTGATTATTATTATCATTCATGATTTTTCAACAACAGAGACTTCTAAAAGAAATTAATTAAATATATTAGAATAAGTTTCTTGTTTTTATTGAAATTTCATGTTCTTTATGATTTGATTATATACTGACAACATGGAAAAGAAAGAAAAACATATGAAATATAAAATTCTTCAAAATAAAACAAAAGAAAGAAGAGTTCGTCGTACATATACACCAAGAATTATAAAATGTTAAATTTGTAATTGAAATTATCCTACATAAAATGCATAAATTCGAGACGATCAATGTCAATATCACAATTCGCACGTATTGTATCAAGTGAATATTCACGTAGAAGTTTTCCATTTTCGAAAACAGTTACAAGTTGATCTTCGGCTTTTTCATATTCATTGCTATGTTCTAAATTACTTAATGTTCGATAAGTATCATTATTTTCTTTAACTAATTTAAGTCGACCAGGTTTATTACGTTTGCCTGTATCAGTTATTGGATCTTTAGCAACTGCTAAACCACCCATACCAGTTACTTCAACATATGAACATTTCATTGCAAATTTCATTGTATCACGATCAAATTTTTGTAATAAAGCTCCTAGAAATAATTGAAAAAATTCATTGAAAATAATTAATAAAAAAACTAAACTTACCACCACTACCAAATACAATATTATCGGTTGAAAAACCTTTTGATTCCAATAAATTAACAATATCTTTAATTGAATTCATATTAACACCATCACCTTGAATTAATCGAACATGGTTATCAAGAACTTTGAAACCTTTTTCATTAACAGTACCACCAAATTTAGCATACAATATATTTAATAAACGTTCAAGAACTTCTAATGGATCACCTATAGATAAACAAAATTAATATTAAGCAATGTCACCAATAAAAATAGGTTTTTATCTAATCAATAAAAATTACATTTCGGGTTATAATTGCCGAGAGACCTACTGTTGAGTCTTTATAGGAGTCGATATATAAATAACACAACAACAAAAGCTAGAGATATGTAGTTTTAGTTTAGTGATCACTAATACACAAGAAAATCTCTTTAGTTGTCCTTTTATGATTTCAATAATTCTTTTGTGTATCAATACTACATAGTGCTTTAATAATAACTCTAATAGGATTTAGTTTCCTATTGATATTTGACTAAGATATTGAATTCAAAATGTCTATTTTCTAAAAGTTCAAAGTTTTCGAAAAATTTCTAGTTTTGAATTTTGATCTTAAACTTTGTGCACGTGTAGAATTAACTAGACTGTTCTTTTTTTTTTAAATAATTCACAAGTTTTGACAAAATCTCTTCAACGATATGAAGTTGTGAAAGAAATGTATTTTGTATACACTATTTGTTGACAAGGCTCTATATCTTAAAAGTCTCATATTTTGAAGAAACTTTGTTCAATACTTCTGAATTTTTTCATGAGAACTACTCTTTTCAAGTTCTTCATATGCACATAGTTCTAGATCGAACTTCGAAAAGATAGGTTTTCCAAAGATGTGAGGCTTCTACAACCTAGATATAGTAAAAGTCCAATAACTTAGTCAAACATCAATAGGAACTGAATTCCTTTAAGACTTTTTATTAAAACTCTATGAACTGCTATACGCAAAAAAAGATTGAAATCGGAAGGAGGCAGCTGAAGAGGTTTTCTCGTCATTTTAATTAGTGCAGAGCGACACACTGTTACCAGTGTTCACTGAAATTTTGAAACACATCACTAAGGAAAGGGTATAATTTGCTATAATTGGTGTATGAATGTTGCAGTGAATCCGACTACCAGAGTAGTCAGTGCTTCAGTGAACTTCTTAGTGAATATTGTATCGGTGACTCACTGTTTCATATTCACATCAACATTCCATGTTTCTAGAAGAAGCTATTATTAAATTTCTTTATGTTTACTTCTATTTAATACTAAGCAAATAAACAAGTTTGTATGAATAATTTTTCTTTGGCAACCTTTAAAATAAAATTGTATTTTTCTACGTGATCATAAACTTAATTAAAATTTCAAAGAACTTAATTTCAAATTCATAATAGAAGTAAATTTCAATGGAACCAATTTTTAAGAGAATTTCATGGGAAAAAAACTTATTTTTTTCACAATGCATACCAGAATCAGATCGTATAACTAATGTTCCATCACGTGCTAAAATTTTATCACGCAATTGTTCACCCCAAATGTGTTCACATGCATTATAAATATCATACGAATCAGATACACATGCAATAATATGTTTTGGATACATATCTATTTTCAAAAAAACAAGAAAGAAAAAATAAATTTGATATTCGAAATATATTTTATTTTTTTTTTATTCACACAAACCTAACATATTTTCATAGGCTTCAGCTTCTCTTTCACGTGTCCAACTAACCATTGTTGAATGTTCTGATGCCGGAATAGAATTAGCAGCCATTGCTTTAGCTGAATAATATTGACGAGCTAAAATACAACCTGATATAGTATCCGTGCCATAGAATGATGTTAAATGTGCACATGCACCAACTAAATATTTCAAAAGAAAAACCAATCTAGTAAATAAAACAAAACATTTTTATATAATTATAATATTACTTGCTGATGTTTCATATGATGATACACCACGAAATCCAAAATCATGCAATTGTGTTTTAATTAATTTTGGATCACCCGTTCGTTTTAATGCTCGTAACTAAATAAAATTAAAACAATCTTTCTTAGATTTCTTTTGAATCAATGCGATATATATATATATATATATACTAAAATTTTTTTAATTTCTCTTGAATTTGTAGCAACCGTAATTGGATACCAAATTTGTAATAAAATTGTTTCTAAAAATGTTGTTAATGATGCACATTTTGGATCTGTATTTTCAACAGTCATTAAAACATTTCTCGTTGGTATAACTGTCCCTTCTGGTACAGCTTTAATACGTATTGGTAAATGTCCATCATGCTTTTCAATAATATGTTCCCACATTTCTCGATCAACAAGTTCATAACCGAAATGTTCTTGCCAAAATTGAATAGCTTGTTCAAGATATTCTCTAGTTACAACTTTACCAAGTAAATGTTTTTTTAATATATATTGTAATCCAAAAAAGACTTGCTCTGGATAGTTACCACCACGACTTTCCAAATAAGCATAAACACATGTTGTACCTTTTGGATATTGTTTATAATGTGATACTTTATATGAATCAGTTTTTAATAAAATATTATTTTCCATTGATACATTCATTATTATCAAAAAAATACTTTACTAATATGTGCAGTGTTGCTTTAGAATATAAGTAGTAAATAACTGAAATTGAAAGATATATGGGTAATAACTGTTACTCAGAAGATGAATGGTTAGACAAAAAGAAAAATAACAAACGTTAAGTAGCAAAAAAAAAGAAGAAAAGTAATGTAAAAGAATGCAGATTTTTGCAGCGTCATATCTTTCCGTACACCAAAAACACACATTTAAATAAAACACGTCAGACTATGCGAATTTAAGAGAGAAGAAATCTTGCCATGCTTGTGAGTAGCGTAATTGTGTACACATAAAGAAATGGAAAAAACCCTTGCAAAAAAAGAAAAAGAAAGTTGTAAGTCATTTTCTTCTCGAAGTCAACAAAGCTATTGCTTTTCTCCGAAAAATACGTTTTTTCTTTTTTTTTACATTAAGCAATGCAAAAATTCAATTAATCTAGTTGCTTTCTATTATTGAGATTGAATGACCTGCAGAGAAACTGTTAAAAAAAGGAAAAGAAGAAACAAAACGAAAGAAAAAAAACCCATTATTATAGCACAAGAAAATTTTTACAATAGTGTTTGAATTAAAATTTTAATGGTCGTTTTGTATTTTCAGTAGATTTTGGTAAAGTTTGTTTTGTTGATGTAAATGGTAAAGAAGAAAAATTACTTAATGATTGATGATTTAATTCGATCCATTCAAGCCAATCGGGTAAATAACGTTTTAAAAGAGCTAAAAGCATTAAACAATCATCTTCAGCACGATGAGATTTTAATTGTGATGCTTTTTGATTAAATTCTCTTTCATAAATTTTAATAAGTTTCATTGATAGTTGTTGTTGTTGTTGTCGTGTTGGATCTTGTGAAGGTATATATTTAATAGGTATTTCAACATATCCAAGACGAGATGATGAATTATGATTAGTTGCTGTAGCTGATGATGATGATGATGATGCTAATTCATTTGAATCAACTGATACATTATTCTGACATTCATTTTGATTCGATATGACTGAAAAAGGTTCTAATGGAATATTTTCATTTAGATATTGAACTAAATCCTTGTCATTAAGTAATCGATGTATTTGTCGAAAGAAAACAAGTGAATCAGCACATTCTATAGATAATAATGAAGTTTGATTATAATCATCACGTGTTGTTATTGTTTGTATACATGAATCTTTTGTTGTCAGACAAGCTAAAGATACATTATCATTTGAAATAGTTGTATTCGTTTCCAAAATGCATTCATTATGATTATTATTATGATTATTATTAGTAGTAATATTAGCATAAAATGAAGGACTGGATAATGCAGATTTAATTTCACTGAATAGAATAGGAAAATCAAATAAATTACCATTATGAGCTAAAAATAAGAAAATAATTTTATTTTTCTATAAATATATATCTGACATATATATATATCTAATATTGAAATTAAACTTAACTAATAGGAAATAATAGAGTGTATGCATTAAAAAATTATATCTACTTATGAAGATATATGGTTAATGTTTTTAAAAGATGATACATAATATACCGTAAAAAAAGCATATAATTAACAGATATTTGATGACACATAGAAAAAAAAGTTTCTTTAGCTGAATTATTTAATTTTTGACTATAAAAACTAAATCGTCATTAACTATATTATTTACTAATAGACTATTATACTAACATGTTTAAAATTACTAGGAGACAGAAATTCTAAAAAATTGAACTTTGCAATATTTTAAACTCAATATAAATTTAAATATTCATTTAATATATACACATACCAACAAAACACATTGGTTTTTGAAAATCACTTAAAAATGTTTCCATAGCAATAACTGTTTCACGATTAAATGGTGCATAATCTACTAACATACGATTATTTAAACCTAGAAAAAGACAAATAAAACTCTCACTGTTGAATGATAAATCTTTATTCTTACCAGTTAATTCAGCTACTGAAGCACGTAATAATTTTACTGGATCAAACAATTTAACAAATTTATTCTAATTAGAATAAAAAAACAAAAAAAAAAACAATTGCATATAAAATTAAATGATTATATATTCTCACTTACTAATACTCGAGGTAATTCTTCATCAACTTTCATTTCTTCCAATGTTGTACTAGAAGTGAAAGGAAAAAAACATTCAAAGAAAAACAAGTTTACAAGGTAGCCAATAAAGAACTTATACTACATTAGAAATGTCGGTCCTTGGGTCATAGAACTCATAATGAGAAGAGCTATCATAACTTTTTTTTTTAAATTCAAACGATTTCTGACAAAAGTGTTAGTTTAAAACAGTATTCATCAAGCAAACTGAAAATATTCAGTGTTCTTATTATCAAGTCGTTTTTTTCGTTCATTCTACATTGATACTTACATATTAACAGCGACCATGGCTAATTCAGTAATTTTAGGTTCATCATATATTAAACCAGTTGTTTCAAGATCAATAATAACTAATGTTTTAAATTTTGATTTATTATTCATATTAAAATAGACTGATCTTCAAGAAAAAATATATATAAATAAATCTACATGCGGACATATATTTATATTTAAATAAAACAAAAAAAGAAAATAAATCATAGAACAAAAGAGAAAGTAAAATAGTTAAATAGATTGTGATAAAATATCAAGTAATTGTTTTATATATGTGATCTTCTTTTGTAATTCATAAATTGGCGCCAATTGTGCACTTAATTGTTCTGCTTGTGCCATAAATGAATAAATAGTTTTTATATTTGTTTCAATAGTTTCATTTAATTTTTCTCCAACAGCATCACGATATGTTTGTAAACAACAAACACTTGTTGCTGACATATTATGTAAAGATAATGTTAATTGTTCAACAGTTGTAACAAATTCTTGTGCAAGTTCACGTGAATATAATTCAATATCATCAAGAATATGTTTATCAATAGGTAATAATATTTGATTTGAATCATATATTGTTTGTGATGGAGATATTGAACGACTTGATTGAACTGATGGTACATCAACAATAGAACTTGAAAGTGAAGGTGATGATATATCATCTGTACTTGATGATTGTCGTTGTGTTAATGCTGTTAAACGAATTTTTTTTACAATATCTTCAACAACAAAACTTGTAAATGTTGATGAATCACTAGAAGATATTTCACTTTCGATTTCTGTTAAGAGATCATTCATTAATTGAGAAACATCATTAGCGATGTTATCTAAGAAAAAGAAAAAAACTTAATCAATTTATGAATGAAAACTATCTACATAAAATAAGTTCTCAATGGCAATACGATTATTTGAACAACGAGCGAACAAAATTCTTCAACTGATGTATTAATTTGAATGAACTATGAATAATTCTGAAAAGAGTTTAGAATTTACAGTAGTTTCTAAGTCAATGCGATGTTTTTCTCCAGAAATAACAGCAAAAATTGATTAACAAATTTCGACTTGAAATTTTTGCACAGAGAATAGTTTATTGTGAAAGTTTCAAAACTTTTGATTTAATTCTATCTTGACATAAGAATATCGAATTTATTAGTGTATGTGAGTGACGTGAAAGATACTTTTACCATAGTTTTATGTTGAGATAAGAACAACGAAAAAATCTGAAAACTTTCATAATAAACAATTCTTATTAAGTCTTGTCTCTATACAATATTACAATCGACATACGAAAGTTTTTGAGTGAGATCATGGTATTGACTCAAAAATTTAATATCTTCTTAGTTATTAGCTTAGGAATTACACTCTTTTCAGAGTATTAATAGTTCACGAGAGTCTACATAACTGACATAGTGCTGATTCAAATGTAATTAATAAATCGAAGAATATTCCTCCTGAGTAAATCACTCATTTTGATAGATTATTTCTTCAAATTCGATCGAAAGTTATGCTTTTTTTTTAATCAAATCATATTAGGGATTATAAACGTAACAAAAAGATTATTTGACATTCCTGTATTTTAACAATCAAAATCTCTCTCAGTCACAATAAAAAAATTCATTATCCTTGTAACTCACTCTTTAAATGAGAAAATCTTTTATTTTTAAATATTGTTTAATTCAAAACATTTCTTTGTGGTTTTTACCTTCTAATTGTTCATCATTGATCAATGTTGAAACAGATGATTCAAATCGTTCATTATTATTATTATTATTATTATCATCCATAGTTTATTATTATAAATCTAATGAATAGAAATAGGAAAAATGCTTTTTTTTCATCGTTGTTTTTGGATACATATATTAACTTAATTCTCAAATTGATTCCGATGATATTTTAATCAAATACTCACACAGAAACATTTTCATTATGTTCATTTTTTTGTTCTTTGAAGAGAGGAAAATCTAGTGATTTTTTACAATGAATAAACCAAAACAGAATTTACAACAAGAAAACACCGGAAGAATTAAGTCATGATAATAACACATGTACATCTGACTATGCTCAATAATATAAATGAGAAAAGAGAAAAAAAAAAGACTATACAAAAAAAAAAGAAACAGAAAAAAAAAGATTTACAATCTATTCCATCTACATTTTAGAAGCCGATAGAATATTATTGTTCGTTTGATTTGTTCAAAATATGTTGGATTAGGAGAAGAAACTTCTATTAATTTTACAAATACTAATTCAAGTTGATTTCGTAATACCGTTGTTATTTGTTGAGCAAAGCTCGTATACATAAAAGGAAATACTTTAATTTCTACAAAAATAAAAAGAAATTTTTCTTTTTTTTTTAATCATCGAACTTTATCTAAATATCTGCATACCAGTTATCAAATCAGCATAAGTTGTAAACAAACTTCTTAGAAGTAATAATACAAAATCATTAATCGGCTACAATAAAATAATAATCAATTAAAAAACTTCATATTAATCATATTTTTATGAAAAAGTAAGGTTTAATTTAATGTGTAATTACCTGATATAGTAAGAAAAAAAAAACTCTCAAGATAACACTTTAGTAGACGTACTTGGCTGTTATTTTATAAACTAACAAAAGATAAGATTTGACAAAACGAATGTATTCATATATCAAAACTAATAATGCTGCGTATTTCATATCAAACTCTTATCCTTCACAGCATAATTACATTAGATATGAACAGAACCAGTCATTTTTGATCCCAGGATCGAGATCGTCTTGCTCCAACTGATAAAGAAGACAAGAGCCACGACAATATGACATTCAACACATATTTTACACGATCATGTAACATATCGCACTCAATAAAAGAAAAAGTATCAGTCCTGTTACTGACCTCGACAGAATTATAAAAAAATGTAAATTTTCTTGATTTACATCATAAAAATACACGATGAAAGTTTTTAATTTGCTACTAACACATGTTTCTCACATTATTTTTCTACAATCTAGACTGTTATCATAAGTTCGAGCAATCCTACTCGTAAAACTAACCTAGCATTAGAATTGTACAAAATGAGACTCTTCTTTTCTCTGTCACACATAAGCGGATGTTATTTTTTTTTTTTGCAAAAAGAAATGCATTCTCAGGTGTTAAAAGATTTACCTCATAGAATAGACTGCAACGTTTAAACTTTGAGATATATTTTCTTCTAGTTAAGAATGGGCATTTGTGTATGAAGAGAACGTCTTCGAATTTCAAGAATAAAATGTATAGATGAAGTACTAGTTTCAAACAATCAACAATGAGATTTTACTGAATAAATGCCCTAGTGAAAAAAGATATTTTCATGTATAATGGGTTATGCTCTATGACCTTAGCGAAGAATTTTTTGTAAAGAAAATACTATAGAAGATCATTAAATTATTTCTATGATAGATTTATCATAAAGCAACATAATTTTTATTAACTATTGTTTCTTATTGGCTTTTTCTCACGAATTATTCAATTCGAAGTTACTACACCATTCACATGATAGATGCAAAATACTGTGCTTGTTACTGAACTTAGACTTTTCAACTGTCTTATGCTTTATTTATTTGAGAAGTATCATCTATTTCATCGAGACGTTTATCATTCAGATAAATAAATATTGAAACTGTTTATAATTGACGAGAACTAAAATAAAGTATCTTAAGAATAACTTCATAAATCAAAAAACATGAATGACTACACATATATGTTCAAATATCTTTTCGAACTAAATGTCTCGTTTTCAGGATTTTGAACTTAAAAGTCTAAAAAGCACTGAGGTCAACATCATTTCTATGCTTTTCAAAACCTTTTAAATTAAAATCTTGGAAATAAATGATACACAATACAAAGCCCGCAATCTTCAAATTAATATTCGGATATAATTATAGACTCGGAGATCTTCTATTTTGAAGAGAAATTTACTTGAATCTTTGTTCTACTTACTTCTGATGAACTCAAAATATTCTAAAAGAAAAAATAAAAAATATATATATATATATGTTCAAAAAATTAATATAAAACAATTATTTTACTTGAATTTGTCGAAAAAATTCATTAATATAATTAATTGAAATGAATTTCAAATTAAATTTTTTCAAAATTAATTCATTTATTAATAATAAACGAATATCAGAAAGTAAATTATTATCAAATAGAAATACATTTAAATAATTTGAATTTTCTTGACATAATTCTGATAAAAAGAATGCCATCTAAAATACATGAATAAAAATCTTTAGTATTTTTGTATTTATTGTATTCAATAAATACCAGATGATCGAAAAAGTTTTTTTTAGAAAAAAATGTTTGTTCATTTTTGACTTACTAAAATATATTTCTGACAAGTCAAGAGTTTTGAGTTTGTGCTTAGAAATTTTATCTCAAGATTAGGGAAACAATTTTTGAAAAAGTTCAAACAAAATTTTTCTCGGACGCAATTTTGTAGGTTAACGTTTTTAGTGAAGATGTTTTGTTTACTTTGACTTGCTTCAAAAAAATTTCAGACAAACCAAAAACTGTACACTGCGAATTGAATTTAAACATAGTCTTAGAAATGTTGCATCTATTTTTTGTTCAAGACAAATAGGAAACTTTTTGAAAGACTTGAAAAGTTATTTTTCATGATGAGTCCACAGGGTTTTATTTATTGAATAAACCATTTTTTTTTGAACATGCTCAAAATTATTTAACTCACAAGGAAACATTCCCAACTGTCACATCGCTTTTGAGTCAAACGTATGGGCATCGTGTAGGCCCTAATGATCTATGAATCCTCTGAAAAAAGTTTGTGCCGTTAGCTTCTTACTGCTGAGATATAGCGTTTTTGCTGTATGTTTAAGAAAAAGTCGTGGTCCCCCTCGGGAACACTAGGAAAAGTGAGTTTTGAGTTTCCATCTGAAACTTTGTCTGTATGCAGGCCTCAATGAGAATAGTTTATTGTGAAGGTTTCCGATCTTTTGGTTGTTCCTAGTCTGAAATAAGAACATCGGATCTGCTCGTGTATATGAGCAATTTTACCATAGCTGTAAATTAGGATAGAAACAACGAAAAGAGCTGAAACTTTCACAATAAAGTATTCTCATTGAGACCTATATTTGTGCAAAGTTTCAAATCGAAATTCGAAATTCAGTTTTCTCAGTGTTCCTGAGGGAGAACACGGCTATTTTTTTTAAACATACAGTAAAAATGCAATATCTCAGCAGTAATAAGCTAGCGGCACGTCCTTTTTTCAGAGAATTCATAGATCGCTAGGGTCTACATAATGCGCATACGTTCGACTTAAAAGCGATGTCACAGTTGAGAATGCTCCCTCGTCAGTCGTTTTGTAGAGCAGATACTTCTCTACAGAATGTAACATTGAAATATACGAGAAAATCTCTACAACTGTTCTATTCTGATTTCAATGGAGTTTTTTTGCCTATAGATATGACATAGTGTTCTATTCAAAATTCAAAAAGGATTACAGTTTGACTAATCCATCGAATTTTTAATGTCTATTTTTCTAGAGATTTCAGAATAGAAAATGAACAAACATTTTGTCTAAATACATTTCAATCACCGATTACTCAATAACTATACCTGTTTTATTCGAATTTCTTTTTCATTAACAAATAAAAGACATAATTCCATAACATTAAAACATATTGAAATTTTTTCATCGGTTGAACTAAATAATAATTAATATGTGTTTTTTTTCTTGTCAAATAATTTTTCTTACTTGCTATTTTGAGATATAATATGTCGAATAAAATTTTCAATAGATTGAAATAATTTATCTTCATTTTGATTAAATTGAAATCGTTTTTTATTTTGACATTTATTCATATGTATACCAATTAATTCAATAAAATAAATAATTAATTTAATACGATAATATGAATTTGTTTTTGTTATATTTGATTGTAAAAATCTTGTAAAATAATCATCTTCAATTAATGATGAACGATATTTTATTTTTGATATTATTTCACATAAATCATATTCAATTAAATCAAATAATAAATCAAATAATATATTTATTATTAATGAATATTGATGACATTTCGAACAATTATCATTTAAATCTTTTTCATCATTATGATTATATGTTGGTAATTCAATTAATAAATAACGTATATGTGATGTTATACCAAATTGTATAAATGAAAATTCTTGTTGATCATTAATTGAATTTCGTAAAATAAACATTTTTATAAAATTTATCATTATAATAGAAATAAATGATGGATCAATATTATAAGATGATGAATTTATTGGATATTCATATTTAATTATAGAAGAATTTTCATATGTTTTATTTAATGGATGAATATGTTTTTCATGACAAATAAGTATATGTTCAAGAAGAAGATATTCAAGATTAAATAACCATTTCGTATGCATTAATGATGAATGAACAGCATGATCAAGAAGTTTTTCACGAGTACGAATATCATATGAAATTGAATATCTAAATATTAGTATGATCTTATTGATACGAAATTTTCAAAAGAAATATAATTGAATTTAAAAGAAAAACTCTTTTTGAAATTGTAATATGAAACTCAAATACATTTTCATATATTAAAGATTACTTCACTATTAGTATCTTTTGTTTTACATCTATTTATTTCTCTTTTTGATCTTAAATTTTTTACAACTATTATTCACTATGCAAACTTCGTATTAACTAGGAATTACAGATGCGACTTTTTATTATTTCCTATAGCGTAAAAGTCTTGTTACATAATATTCGCTCATTGTCCTACTACTAAAAAAACACAATTGGTTAAAAAGCAGTAGCAGTTAGTCAGAATCAAAATTTTTTGCTATTATTGACTACATGTTTAAATTTTCCTTCTCGGATGAGATTGAACCGTTATCAGTAAATATTTTGAAAAAGTCCAACACTATGCCTGTACAAACTATCATAGTGGTTTTGGCACAATCTTTAGTTTGTGTTTTGAAATAGCTTCAACTCAACATTATCAAATTCTATACAAATATGAGATATTACAAGAAGTGAAATCTTATCTGAGCGTTTTTACAATAGTCTTCGTTTCTATGGATATTGACATTAGTAAAAAGCAACGATCTTTAAAATTATGAAAAAACTACTTGATATTTTGCATCTGATATATTTCAATTGAAATACAAAATTGACCAAAAATAGCATTCTGTGCAACTACTATTTTGAACGTTATAAAATTATCTTATTTCAGAAGCAAATTCCGATTGTAACTAATTAATTTTGGCACTTATTGATTGCTTGAAAAATAAATCATAAATATTTTGTATCAAGACTTTTCACTATAGTTTAAAAAGATACAATGAACTAGTTTTGTTGAGAATCGTATTTGCTCAACGTTTAAGTTTAAAAGTAATCTAAAGGAAGAGTGAGAGTTTTTTGAAAAATTTACTAAAATGGTCACAAATCAAGGAAAAAAAAATTCATGAGCATGAATCCTTTCAAACACGATTTATCATGTTGTAAAATGTTCTAGTAAAATAGTACACAATGAAAACTTAGTTTTTAAAAGTACTCTTTTACTAAATAATTCTGTAGTCAAATACTAGACTTTGGACTGGTTGCAGAAAGTGCTAAGATTCCCAACGAGATTTTTGAAAGATATATTTCTTTTGATACAAAAATGACTTAGTTAATTTGTGCAATGAAACGTTTTAACATATGTTTTATATTGTAGAACTGATGTGTTTTCGATGAAAAGAAAATAATATATGTTAAAACGGTTCATTGCAATGACATTTAGATGAGATGTGCATTTTGAATAGTTTATCGACTAAAACAGAGAATTTATAAAACACGAAAAAAAAATATAGGAAAATCTAAAATGATCTTCTCTTTTGTTAGAAGATGTATATGAAAAATATTCTTAAATAAGAAAGAAATGAAGATGAGCTGATATATTGAGAAAAGATAAAATTAAAGAAGAACAGATAGAAAAGAAGACGTCAAGTAACTATAAATATTTAACGATTGAGAAATAGTCATCACTCATTTATTATATAACAAATTTTAATATCAGATACTTACTGTTGTTGTTCAATTTCTTGTATATCATCATCATCATCATCAGCATGATTGTTATTATATTCTTCTAATTCATCATCATCAATTACAATACAATTATGAAAGAAATTTTCTGGTCGTTTATTAACAGTATCAATAGAATTTGTTGTATGAATTGATGGTTCTGATTCATGACTATTTAATTTTGATTTTTGAAGAACTAACAAATATAATATGAGAGAAAAAAGAATTAATTTAAAAAAAAACACAAAATTAAAAGTTACCTTTGTGTTCTTTTGATTTTTGTTTAATAATTTTTGTTTGTAATTTATTATTTAATGATAAATTTGTTTTTTTTGTATCTAAACGTTTTATTTTCTTTGGTTTTTTCTTTATTTGTTGATTATGATCATTTAAAACTGCAGTTGTTGATTCTGAATTTCGAATAGGTGAATCGATTGGCTAAATATTAAACATCTTATATGATTATTTCAATTGATAGGTCTTTTTTTTAAATTTTACTCGTAATGGTTTGGATGGAATTTTCATATATTCTTTTGATTTCGTTGTTGTTGTTGATGTAATAGAATTAGAATTTAAAGTTTTTGATGTTGAAGTTTTTAATTGTTGATGATTTTGAAAAGAATTTAATTTTTGTTCAGCTAATGTCATATGAACGAAGGCAGATTTTTCTTTCGATGTTTGTGTTTGTAGAATATACTTTTGTTTATTATTAATTGAAGAAGATTTTATTCGGTGTTCTAAAAAAAAAAATTGAATTTCAATTAAATGAAAACAAAAATAAACAAACAATTTACGAGAAAATCTATGTTCTTCATTTGATAAATTTCTTTTTTGATTTTGTTTTTTTGATATTGTTGATTGTAAATTATTATTTGATGATCTTCGAGAAGGTTTCTGAAAGCCAAAAAAAAACAAAACCAAGCTTTTTTGTTTAATTAAGTAATATATGTCTATGAGCTAACTTGAATATTTGTTTGTATTGATGATATTCGTGTTTCAAGTGGACGTATTGTATCTTCATTATTTTTTAATACCATTGTTAATAATGGTGGTATAATTGTTTTAGTTTGTTCTTTTGTTCGATTAGATTTTGGAACTAATTGTAAAGATTTTGTTTTTATAGTTGGACTTATTGGTTTCTTTTTAACATCCTCATATGAACGACATTTATTTATTGGTGGTGGAACTTTATGTATTTGAATAGCACAATTTGGTATACGAGTTTTTGCTTTTACTTTAGCTATGATATCATCTAAGTTTTTACCACTTGTAGTTTGATTTGATTCAGTTGAAGATTTTGTTGATGAAAAATCAATTTGACCATCTAATTGTGGTGGATAATGAAATATATTATTATCAAAACTTATTGGTTCAGTTTTAAGAGGACGATGAATAAATGTAACAAGTAGATCTTCAGCATGAGTTGTAGAAGAATCTTCAACTAGACAAAAATAAATTCAAATTTAAGAATTTTAATTAATCGAATAGCAAGATAAATGAAAGAACTTAATGATGATTAAAATTGATATACTCGATAAATTCGATTTCTTCTATTTCAAACTATTAAATAAAATGTGTCCGAAAGTGAATCGTAGTAGAATTAGTCATATAACACTTATTCATACTGTGTATGAGTTAATTGAAAAAAAAACAAATATTCGTAACATATACATTGAACTAGAATGTTGATGATAATCAGCATTTTTTATTTAGCAAAGTTCTGCAGGCTGAGATAAGAATAGAACTAGAGTGTTGTTCATATTGATGAGTGTTTTTGACAAGCAATTTCGAAGATATTCCTGACACCTTTCTCGTTTAGAAGAATTAATATTGAACTGATGAGACAAATGATCATTGAACTATTAATAACATAGTGTATTTGTAAAAAGGTCATTCAAATTTCTGACGAGTTCAGCCATAATTTAATATATTTTTAGTACAAGCGAGAAAGTTTTGGAAGATATAAAAACAGTCGTCAGACAAAAAAAATGTTAACGATACTGTTCTCAGAATAAGATGTTTAGCCTTTTGTTTTTGCTGGCAATCGGTAGATTTCGATAAGAAAATTACGATATGGATGCAAACTAATACAATATTATGAATTAACATCACAAATCAAGTGAACTTACGTGATTTTCAAAGATTTTAACAATTACATAATTCTACTATGATTCACTTTTGAAAATTTCGGATTGCTCGAGGAAATTAATTTAAGCAGTTATTGACATTCTCCTTTCTCTAAAATTTTCTGTTTGAAATAAGATTCGAAATGAAGTCTTGAAAAATAATGACATTTTTTAAAATATGTTTGCTTAATATTGATTCAACTGAACATTAATCTATGAAAAAATCATATTCAGAATAATTGATATTTTGTATTTACTCTTATTAAACTGAGATTTGTTTAGAGTAATCAAATAACTTCGATGTTTTAATTCGATATGTGTGTAAATTCCAGAAATAAACGTCTTTTATTGAAACATTTTTTTCTTAAGACAAAAAAAACAAAAATTTCAGTTCAAAAAAAACAGAGAGACTATCTTAGCATAACTAAGTTCATAGAATATTCATCGGTACAGAATCAAATTTTAAATAATAACTATTACAAAATTGATGGATGTATCTATTATACAAAGTTTCATAGTTATAATGTTTGCTTAACATAGACTAGCTATATGTATTTTAGAATTTTTGTTCAAACTTATTATTTTCATTTCACTATTAGTACTATAGTACTGGTTACAAATATAAGACCGACATATTTTGAATGTTTTCTCTACGATACCAAACATTTAATTTAAATACAAAGAATGATTTAAATAGCCAACGCATGTTTCTAATAAAGTGCATTCAATACTGAAATTTCAAAAAAATTTTTAACTATCAAATACGATGATTTTCAGATCACAGAAGATGTTGAGATTTTATTTTTAAGAATAATATCTTACAGAGCATAAAATCATGAATCATATAAGAGGTCATGACATCTTCTATGGCATTCCATTAAAAAGAGGTATCCATCATAATAAAATTTTTAAAAAAATGCAAAATTTGTCATAGCATTGCAAAAAAATTGGTTTAAAAAAAACGCATATTTTTTTTTTGTAATGCTTATAACTTTTTTAATGAAATGTCGTAGGCAATACAGCAGGCGGCTTTCATGTGATTCAAAATTTTGTACTCTTTTAGATGACATTCTTGAAACAGTTCATTATCACAGTCTTCAGAAACTTGATAAGTATCATGTTTGCTTTTACAAAAAATTTTCTTCCTTAAACTCTCCATCCGTTCGAATAGAAAGCCATTGGTTTTGTCAAAAAACTTTTTTTTAAAGAAATTCAGTGGTTTTTTTTTAGGTTTGATTATTTGAAAACCTGCTTGCCTGAGTAAAAAAGGCTAATTTCCCGATACTTGGCTGCTAAAAATATTCATTTCAATGCCAGCAAAAACTATTCCGCAATAGAGGGTTACCTTTGAAGGAGCAATGTAAATTTTCATAATAAAAGGCAATGGCTTTTTATTTTGGGAGAGGAAGACGTTCAGTTTATGTAAGATAGACGATCATCGGATAAGATTGTAAATCTGCTTCCATCTTAGATCTCACTTTCAATAGTTTAGAGAAAGCAGCCATGAAGTTCTGTGCGTCTCTGTTTATTAGTTTTTTATCTCATAGTGATCATATTTACTATTAACTTTGATCCGAAACTACGTTGAGTCATATAGGTGAGATTGTAATTACCGTCAGTTAAACATAATGAGATAAGGCGTAGTCCAAAAAAAACTAAAGGTGTGATATTGCACCTGAGTAACTGTACAAAGTTCAAGACAAAACAACACTGATAAATACGATCACTATGTATATTTTTAGAACATGAAAAACTTCATCGCTTTACCCTATTTGTTTTCATAGTGAGTGCGCAAAAGAAAAAATTATGATTATTATACTTTTTTTTTATCGAAAATATCCAAAATTGATAGACTTTAATGAAATATTTCTTATCAATACTGCTAAAAACTTTATAAATATCTGTGCGTTTCATACAACGAAGATATAGGCTTTTTGATTGTTTTTATTCAAATGCATTTATTCCAATTATTATTATCTTACCTGTTGAATAGTCCATTTGATTGATCTCATTATCTTCATTATTATTTTCTTTACTAGTTGATTGAATAATATTTTCATTTTCATTTTCATCTTCATCATCATCGTCATCGATTACAGGTTGAAAATTTTCTGGTTCCCATTCAGCAAGTTTATTCAGATAATCATCATCATTAGTTGATAATGCATCATCATTATCTTCTTCTTCTGATGATGATGAATCAGTAGATATATTTTGTTCATCATCATGTATAGGCTTTAGTTTTGGTTGATAACGTAAGAATGAACGTGATACTTTGGCATTATTTGATGGTTGTTCTGGAGGTAATGATTTAAAATCAAAACTTGTTTTATTTGAAATACTTTTGAAACGACGTTCAAGTAACTGACGAATTCGTTGTGAATTTAAATCAACATTAATTAATAAACAACAATCATTATAGAATAATGATTTATAAGACATTTTGATAATACTTATTCAACTAAAAAGGAAAATATAAAATGACATATGAAGATATGACAATTAATTTGCTTTTTTTATAAACGTTTACATATCTGAATCAATAAATAATTTCATATTGTAATAAAAAAAGAAATATTTAATCGATGATAATTATATTTTAATTACAATAGATTGTCAGATATGCAATGTTAATCGTTAATAAAATGAAAGTTAGTTGTTTCGGGTATTTTCTTTTCTCTATACTATAATAATTTTCTTTCTGGTGTAATCTGATTAGTCATTAAAGAAGAAATAAGAAAAAATAATTATAGATGTCGTCCATGTTTTATGTGACATAATGCAAATTATTTACAATTGAACAATATTAAACATACATGAAAAAGTGTCAATAATGATATTGTTTTGACAATGAATGAAATAAACCTTTGATTTATTCAGAGATTCGACAATGTTTAGATTTCTGAAGAGAAGAGATTAGCAAAATTTCTAATCAGTAGCGAATTTAGAGAAGGATGTTGCGAGCAATCATCCTCTTCTTACAGGTTTTTCTCAATTATTTCTAACAGAAAAAGCTTACATATGAGCTAATATTATCTCTAATGAACTTCCAAAGACGTTTTATGATTATGGTCGTCCTTCCATCTCCGCCAAAGCGCCCTCTATGATAAAAACCCTTTATCCACCACGAATACTAACAAATGAGAAAGTAATTTCGAAAAGATATTGCAAGAAAAGTAAAAAAGTTTCTCTTATCTTGATATGGATCAATGAATTTATAAGTCAATAGCTGCTAGAGGTTATCGTCTTGGTTTCAGAGCGAATCGTGTCCAAGTTTGAAATTTTTCTGTTAATGTTAACTAAATCTGGGTTCGACTCTGAAAACTTTTTGTTAACTGGGTCTAAGTTGGAAAATTTTGGACACGCTGAGCTGTAGTCGTTTGAGAAATATGTAGAGTGCGCTAGTCACCGAATACAAACAACCGGAAAAGAAAGTATTTCGTACCTTCGAGACGACTATCCTATTTCGATCAGAGAATTTCATTGAGAATATCAAAGTACAACTCGATCGCGTCCGAAAAAGTTGGATCAATCGGATCCGGTGTAACGGTTATTAACGTACGGAATCTCCTTTACTATATTCGTGCGTTCACAGGTGGACCTTGTGACTACTTTGCATCGTTATATTGTTTGATCGTTTCTTCTTTATTACTGTTAGTTTATGTGTGGTCGCTCTCTCTACGATATAAAGAAGTGTGAACGAAAGATGAACACAACTAGAGATGTAGAAATGACTTAATATATCATCATGCTAACAGGCATAGTCAATACTTTCTCAGTTCATCATATCATGGTCTCAAAGACAATCAAAAAAAACCAAATGTAATGATTCTCAGATCAACAGGCTCTAATGGAATTCACTCGTCAAAAATAAAAGATTTTTGATAGTTTTTGAAAATTGATACGACTTGGAAGTAGAAGTAATTCATAGTTTCAATGAAATATATTTATGATTAGTATTTAGAAAATTCAATAACGTTTAGAACTAACATTTAATACTGACATTTCGTAGGAAATAACGAGATTTCTCGTTAACTTCTGAAATTGATGATACAGTTTTCTTAGAATTTCTTCGTTGTACTTCAGTGATCACTGAAATAGTCTTCTCATGTATTAGTAATTTTGAAAGTTTCCTTTTTTTTTCGGAAACCTTAACATACCTCTGTTCGATATATCGATGTCGATACTACTATCTATCTGAATGTAACTTAGTGTCGTTGAATTTTTGTTCTTGATTTTGAAATTAATTTCTACGGTTTTTGTAAATTTTTCAGTTTATCGCATCATTGTGATTCGTTGTGATCGAATAAAATGTTATTGCTGTTGTTATTTTGCTTTTTCTTATCAATGATGTTATTCAAAAAACATTACACGAAGCTTTTTCTCATACGGATGAAAGGATTACTTAAATAACAAACGTGAGGACAAATAATTAAAAATATTTTTTGTTTATCTTGTTTCATATCTTTCTTTTTCTTTTCTGATCGATCAAGAAATGATAAAAACTATACCGATTCATTTATCTGACGAGTGAAGGTCATCAACTGATCAAGCGCTTTTGCTTTGAGACTATGTGTATTATGTAGGTACAAATTAACTATGAATACCTTGAAATAAGTTCGACCCGGTAGCTTAATATTACAGAGATACTGCACTTTTACGATATGTTTTTAAATGAATGCTGTTGTCCCCCTCAGAAACTCCCTCAGGAACACCGGTAAAAATGATTTTCGAATTTCGACTTGAAACTTTACATAGGAACATGTCTTACCGATCATAGTATTTTGTGAAAGTTTCAGATCTTTTTTTACTGTTCCTGTCCTTAGATACAACTGTGATAAGTTCATTTAGATAAATCAGAAGATTTGATGTTCTCATTTCAGAATGGGAACAAATCAAAAGACCTGAAACTTTCACATAAAACTATTCTCGGTAAAGCCTGTTTCTATGTAAAGTTTCAAGTCGAAATGCGAAAATCATTTTTTCTGATGTTCCTGAGGGAACCATGGTATTCATTTAAAAACATACCGCAAAAGTGCAGTATTTCTGAAACAATAAGCTAGCGACTCGAGCTTTTTTTTTAGAGTATCCATAATACATTTGTACCTATATAATGCATGTAGCGTTAATGCAAAAGCGCTTGATCAGTTGGTGACTTTTCTCGTGAGCTGAAAAGGATAAATCGAAAAAAAAAAATCATAGGACATTTTGTTATTGGTTAATCTGTCTGTTGACACAGTTGTTTCGAAATTGTATATTAGAAATCTTGATTTTATAATTAAAAAGAAGCAATAAAAGATGACGATTGAAACAATCTTTTATTTGGTTAATGACTTTGTCGATTTTATTGTTTAAGATGTTGTTGGATGAGAGAGATTAAAGCAAAAAAAAAGAGAAATGTAATAAATGAGGTCAATTCAAAGATAATAAAAAAAGAAAAGTGAATAATTCAAAATTAACTTTTGTTTTCGTTTTCTTGATTCATTCTCATTCATCTGACACTTATTAATGTCATAGATAAAAAAAGATATAGCATACCATATATGAGAGATATGATTACATCGTTATATGCTCACGAGTTCCTGTACAATAACTATATCAAAATGATAAAAAATAAAGAACATAACATTTCATTTCTCATTTATCTAAGAACTATCTTCATATATGACCAAATAGTTTGATATTAGATGTCTCCTACCTTCAAAATCGATTTTCAATACAGTACATGGAATCTCACTGAAATTTTCCACAAATATTTAGTACATAAAGGTAAACTTACGGAATTTCTTTTGCGTTTCTTTTTAAACATTGGAGTTCACGAATTTTCTAGAGATCAAGATACGAAATGAAATCTCGGTCCGTACAAATATTTGTTTTTACTATACTTGAAATATGCTGTTTTTAACTTTTGGAGACATTGAAACCTCTAAAATCTTGAAAAAAAACCATTAGATGTTTTCCACAGAGTCACAGTTTAATTAAAAAATCCTTTCATTTATCCGAAGAAACGTCATATGTTCTGATAAACAAAAAAATGCAGCTCTTTAAAATGAACTATTTTTGAAACAAAGTTGTTCGAAGTTTGATAATCAGTGTAAAGTTCAGTTTTGAGAAAAATGCCAGAGAAATTTTTCTTCTTGAATATTGTTTTAAATCGATCCAAAAATGCAAACGCATGCATTAATGGTAAGTACTCGTCACACTATATCGAACTATGCTTTTCGCGGTCTACATAATGATAGGTTGCATCGGTTATCATGATTGCCGTGACGTAAATTCTAATTATTGCACAATGTAAAAAATAATAATTGCTTCAACCACCTCGAGAATTTTAAAAAAAAATATCTTAAAAACTTTTGAAATTCAATAACAACTTATATACAATGGCTTGGTTACTAATTTCACTTTATTGTTTAAAAGAATTCGATGATGAAAATCAGTTGAGTGACTCACCCGAAAATTATCACATATAATCAACGAAACTCTATTCTTTATATTTTCTTTAAACTGTTTATTCGCTAGGCAATTTTTTTAATTTATGTTATTCATCCTATTCTAAGATTCATTTTAATTCAACACTTGAATTCTTGTGATCGACACAAGCCTACAATGAATCAATGTTTATTTTAATATTCTACACTGAATGATATATAATGAAAAAAAATTTCTAATAATATCTGTTGTTCATGTTGCTCGAGCTTCACAAAACGATCTAAGACTACATATACACATGAATATAATATAATTATATAGGGTTGGCCAGTCTGGCCGGATGTCCGAATGCTTTTTTCTATCATTCAATTTCTATAATATATCAGAAAAATCTAATTTTTTTAATAGTAATAGTACGTGCATAATGCTGATGATCTAGTCTAGGATAGGAGGTTTATCTCTTGTTTGAAGCCACAATAATTAAGTGTCTTTGGAACCACCTGTTAGTAAATATCCAAAGACTTTTGGAGATACTTGATTATTTTTGTTTTAAACAAGAAATAAACTCTTTCTTTTTGACAGATCATCAGTATTATATGAGTACTATAACTAGCAAAAAAATCAGATTTTTCTGATATACTATACAGACTGGTTGACTAAAAATAGCATTGAGACATCCAATCAGACTGGCCAACCTCATATATATTATTTCGAATTTTTTTTGTAGTCAAAGTGTTTCGAACAGACATATGTTTATTGTGCATGCTATTAGTACAATCTAAATAGAAGAAAAACAAAAATAAATTCATGTATAATGAGTTAGATGCATAGTCATGTTGACGAAGGACGAAAAAGCATTTTAATGAATAGAGTAGTTTATTTTATTTCATATTTTATTCGTCAAAATGACAAAAGAGAAAGAAACGAAAGGTAGTTTCCATTCAAATTTAATTTTGCATTGAACAAGAAACAAAATTTTATGAGAAAGAAAGATTGACAAAATGCATAAGATTGCCTATACACAAGTCAAGTCAAGTATTTACTTTTGCGATGTTGTTCGAGCGTTTCTAACTCAACAGTATTTTACGAGCAGAGGAAAAGAGACTGATGTCGCACCATTGCATTTTGTCACTTCTTTTGTTAATCATCCGGCATTGAGAACAAATATAAAATGGGTAAGAATGTTGTTTGAAATAAAAAATATCAACGTAAATTTAATACTATATTTTTTTTTGTCATTATTTAGTTCATATATCTATATTTGTCGTTTGAAATCATTATGTGCGCAAACGTATGATATTTTATGAGTAATAGACATGATAAGGTAAATATCTTTTTCATAAAATGATTTCTATATAATGTGAAAATAATTAATCATCGAAAAAAGAAAAGATAGCTGTGTCGTTTTATGGTGCAATCATGACTATTAATCACGCAATTATTTAAAGTTTTCGTTATAGATTTATTCATATAAATACTTGGAAATATAAGTAGATTATTTTTATTTTTTTTGCTTTTCATAATAAATATTATTCTACTATATAAATAACAGTTTTTTTTTATCTATATCGGTTTTGATTCAATAGATATACAAATAATAAATACACGTTTTTATTTTTGCTTAGTTATTTTTTTCCTTCAGATATTTTGTTCGATAATTATTTACAATGAGTTTTCATCCATCTCCATCGATTGATTGTCATACGACACCAATGGAAGTAGTATTACCACTCATACATGAAACTATGGTTTATCCAGATCGTATTCCAAAGAATAATGCGGATACTAATGTTGATGATGAGAGAGAATCTCGTTCTTCATCAGTTAATGGTAGACATTGTTGCCAATATCATAATTCATCTGGCCAATATATATGTCGATGTCCACCACGTTATTTGAACAAATCATTATTTTCTGAAAATTTATTCTTTATATCCCAAATAGGAACATTGGCATTTTATCAATCTTTACTAAGTGAATTTATTGGAACAATGTTACTTACATTAATATGTACGTCCACGGGTTTACCTATTACATCTAAACCTGTACCTGATTTACATGGTGCTTTCGTTGCTGGTTTTACTATTGCAACAATTATTGTTGGTTTCGGTCATATAAGTGGTGCACATGTCAATCCGGCTGTAACAATATCGTTTTTAGTTGCCTGTGAAATTGATGTTTTACGAGCATTATGCTATATTGGTATGCAATTACTTGGTGCTGTTAGTGGTTCTTGTCTACTAAAATTTTTAGCACCTTCTAAGGTTCAAGGAAATTTAGGTTTGAATACAATAACTCCAGGTGTTACAGTTTCACAAGCCATTGTAGTTGAATTTATTATTACATTTATTCTATGTTATACAGTACATGCTATTTGTGATAAAAAACGTGAAGATATTGGAGGTTCAAAAGCTTTAGCCGTTGGTTTAGCAATAACAGTTGGTTGTTTATTTGGTGGGCCTTACACCGGTGCTTCTATGAATCCAGCTCGATCATTTGGACCCGCTACTGCTTTAAATTCATGGGAAAATCATTGGGTTTATTGGTTTGGTCCTATAACTGGTTCAATTGTAGCTGCTATTGTTTATACATATGTATTAAAAAAACAAATGCCTATTGTTGTACGCACTGATTCTCGTTCACGTTCTCATATAGATAAATCAGTTAATAGTTAAAAACAATTCAAAAACCAAAATATCAATACTTTAATAATTAACATTCTCATCTCTTCATACAATTTCCACTCAATAACTTGATATTTCGATAGAAGTCATATGGATTTTTAAATAGAAAGAATATTATTGTCCGGTCTTTTTTCTTTTTGTTCTTATTAGTTTATTAACATGTATTAGTTTCTGTTTTTTCTTTCTTCTTCTTTAATGCCTGACAAGAATTATTTCTTCTTGGAGAAACCTCTCATTCACTTCAATTACATGATTGATATGCACGCATATTTTATACAAAAAAAAAAAAAAAAAAAAAAACTTTTTTTTTTGCAATATATATATTTTATTTTAGATATATTACATTCATTAAAAAAAAAGAGAAAAGATAATCAAAAGGCAAACAAAATCAAATCAATTAGATTAGGTCAGTGATCATGCATTGAGATTCAAGTTGGTTTTGCATACATTGGTAAATGATATTGATTATAATTAATATATCCTAAAATTGTTTCTTCAATTTCTTTTTTATATCCTTCAGCACGAAATCGTTTCAGTATATTTTTCTTTTGTTCATCATTAAACTAAAAAGAAAAAAATGAAGTAATTAATTCAATATTTATAAAAACAAAAAAATCAAGATTTGTTTGTTTATTTTTTTATTTTTTTACTATTAAATCATGATCAATTGATGAAGCAAGTGATGAAAAAATTGATTCTTCATTGTCCATCTTAGAATAGATAAATAAAAAAGAAATAAAATTGAAAATAAGAAAAAAATTCTTTATAAACCACATACTAATGTTTTTTTTAATATTTCACGAACTTCATTTCGAACATCAGTAAAACGATCATGATACAAAGCAACAGCCCAATTTTCTTGAAAATATCTAATTTAAAAATATTAAAAAACAAAAATAAAGTAGAAAAAATAAACTAAGATTTTAATACGTACGAAAAAAAATCAGTTATAAGACCTTCATTATAACGTTGCCGAAGATTATTAATTAAACGTTCATGTAATCCATATAATTGAGAAAGATTATAAGCATCAATTTTCTAAATTTAATATTATATAAATTTATTTTTAAAATAATAAAAGTAATGTAATCTTACATCATGACGAAGACAAACAATAGTACGAACAATTCCAGTTTGATCAAGATGAAGACGAAAATAATTATTTTCATGATTCGTTATTAAATCAGTACCCTTATAAATAGAATTATATATATTTTCATAAAATTCAATAACAGTATTAAATATTTACATAATTTTCAATATTTTTTGCGTCTTCATATCTAACAGTCGGACCAGATTCACAAATTTGAAAGTAATGAAGATTTCCTAAAATTCAATAGAAAATTGTCTATCGAAATGAAATTTCTATTGTATTTGTATTAAACATCATTAGAAATGTGTGACATCAAGTTCCTGACATGACGAGGAAAAAAAAGTTTCTTCCAACTGAAACTAAAGACTATTGTCAAATATTTGATGGGTTCAAGTAAATTCATCTTATACATCATATCAATTAAAATTTAATTGAGGAGTGATGACAAAGAAGAAATGCTATTCATCGAAGAAATAAATCAAATTATAAATTTTTTTAGATATTATACAAATCGATTCTGGAATAGATTTCTCTAGACTGAGATCCGAAAAAGAATAGGATTCAGACAGAAATATTGAGACTATGGCCGGGATGAGAACTAACAAAATTCGAATTTGTTTTTTTCTCTTTATTTCAATGGGCTATATGAAAATTAAGAAGAAAATTTAATCTAATAAATATTGCTATTTCATAGGAATGAATTATTTTATAAGATTTAATTGAAAAATCACATGAAAAACAAACCTGGTAAAACAGCATAAAGTCGTTTTGGTTTTTTATATGTTGGAATAAGTGGATTTCTTCCAGATGGTGTTTTTGGTGGAATATATATTGGATCATATTTTAGAAATAATTGATTAGCAAGCTAAAAAAATACAGTAAAGAAGAACATTTGAAACAAAAAGAACAATAGAAAGTTTTAAATAATAATGAATCGAACCATATGTCCAGCTTCTTTTGAATTAAAACTAGCCTGAGTACGATCATCACTATAATAACCTCGTTTAAATTTTGTTAAAGATCCACCAGCATAAATTAATGAATCATTTGTATGATTATTTTCATCAATAACAAGACGTCCATCAAATACTAATGAACTTTGATTTATAGCTATAAATGCATCATAATTAACTTGTTTATTATAAAAACAGAATAAAGTCTATAATTATATTAAAAATATAAAGAATAACTATTAAAAAAAGTATATATGGGCTAAATCAGCAAAAATGGGACATTCACCCATTGCATTTGAATGCAATTCTCTATCAGTATAGACTTTTTGAGTGAATTGTTTTTGCATAGGCTTATGTAAAATTGTCTGCTCTTTCACCTGGTTATTAATTAATTGATTAATTAAGAAGTAATTAGCGAATATTTCGATAACCGAATGACGAAAAAACTTGAAAACTTCAGGATAGGCTCTAGGATATGAGCCGCATGTATGGTAAAATTTTCAGCGAGATCAGACATCAAAAAATTCCTTCCAAAAAATCGACCTTTCAGAGCCTTTAGACAGAACTGAAACGAAAATGTTTGTTTTAGTATTATTCTATGAACCCCTACCATTAACATGAGCCCCTTGGAATTGATTTCGAACTTTTCAGTTCGTTACCAGAGCATTTGAACGGTAATGAAGTCACACTCAGTCATGTCCCTAACGTTGAATAAATTTTATTTTTTGAAAAATCTAGACATGCTCAAAATAATTTTACACCGGGATTTAGTAGTCTTAGGAATCGTGTCTAGTATCGCGTATTAAGTTTTCGGCGATTGTGTAACACTTGGAAATTTTTAAAACCCAAAGTATATCAAGTGACAGTTGATGTCCTTTTTGGTGTCACGTCGCTAACGCTAGTTTTTCGTTAATAACTCCTCTGAACAAAGCTCTAGTGTGCTGATTTTTTCATGGCATCTAGAGTAAATAGAGACTCGTACAACATACAAAAATCCCACCTAAGCCAGCTGATAATTCCGAGATATGCATACTCCAAGTTTGCGATGTCATATCACTAACGCATGATTTAGCCCATATATATATACATATATTTATTTACTGTGCATTTTAAATTAAGATCTTTGCTATGTTTTTTATCTTTTGTTCGAAATATAACATGATCAATTGGTTGATTACTATCAATAGCACCTTCATGACGCCATTCATCCATTAAATAATTTTCATAAATTTGAATATTTAATTTTTTTAATTGCTCGTGAACAGATTTTAACACAGTTAGATCATTAAATACATTAGCCTTTTAATTATTCAATACATGCAAAAAAAAAAGATCATAATTTTTAAAATTATTTTACAATATTTTCTTACATCCGCATGATCAGGAGGAAAAATAAGTTTTATAGAATTCGGTGAAATTCCATTGGCAAGAAGTGCATTAACACAACAATAAGATTCAAGTGTTGCACCATAAATTAAAATTGAATCTTTAAAATAAAAATTTTTTGTTTTATATTTTTCTAAATCCTCCTCAATTCCACAGAATAGAAGTCCAGCTTGTCAGAAGCAGTACAAAATAGCAATGTCAACTATCAAATACATTAGTTCAACGTTTTGTTTTTCATTGTTTAGTTGTAACTTATCTGATGTATTTCATTTCGACTATTCTACATGTTTTCTATTACGTAGCAAACGAATCTCTTTCACGAACAAAAAAAAAATGTGTACGCATAGATATAAAAGAAAGTCGGATGTTCAGAACCTATACATAAAAAATAGATATGCTTTAATACCATTCTATTATGGGAAAATCTATAGCTTAGAACTGAAATAATACAAAATTTTCTTAAGATGACAGAAATATCCACAAATTTTTAATGAAAAATGACACATCTAATGAAGCTGAAATCTTGATAGTTTCTCAAATGAAAATATTGCAAAAAACGCGATTTAACGTATCTATATTAAGCCTCATGGATGATGAATGAACTTATAAATGAGAATAATAGTGTAATAATCTCATCGTTCAGGTTACCTAATAATGACAAGGAACTGCAAAAGTATAGCAGTCAATTTTTAGTTCGTTGATAACTATCAAAGTTTTCAGAGAGTCTAAGGACTTCAATTTATCAAATCAAATCATAGCTATAACATAAAAGAAAAGTCAATTGTAACGAAAATTCATTTGCGAAACAAATTTGAAGTTCAGTAGACTGCTATTCTGTGGGAAGGAGTTTAATTAATAATCATGTCTTTTTTTACGTTCAGTATGATGATTCATTCGAAGCCATTTGAGTACCATTGCAGCATCAAATTCATCATTAATTGTTAATACATTTGGTGGTGCAGGTTCTATACAAATATTAATAATAAAGAAAATATATTTCTATAAAAAATGTTTGTTTATTTCAATATACCAAATAACATTCGATCTGATTTCGTTGGTACAGCTTTTTTACTTAATGGATTCATTACAGTAGCTTGCATAGGTGCAATAATATGAAACTGATTTCCTGTACATAAAAGTAAATGATCATAAGGTACAATAGTTTCATCATCAAGTATAGCTAATTTCATTGGTCGATTAAGACTAATTAATTTCGCACAAACAATATTAACATATGAACGAAGTGAAAGACGATTTAATTCTTCTGTTTCATATTCAAGACTGAAAAAAATAATAATAAAATTTTATTTTTATTTCAATTATTTTCTTTCTTTCTTTTTTTTCGCTCATTTACTTTGATGGTAAAAATAAATTTCGAACATGTGATGGTGGAAATTCACCTGGCATGCCATGTGGTGATATTAATGTAAGATTATTGAAACGAAGATAAGGGCTATAAAGAAAATATGATTTATTGATTTAATGCAAAACCTAAAATTCTGTTTTCTTTCGTAAATATGTATATTACTTACCACATAACAAGAGCTTCGAGTACAGCC